CGGCCACTACACTCCAGTCTGGGCGACAGAGTGAGACTCCAACTCAAAAAAAAAAAAATTGAACTTAACATCAGCTTGTCATTCTAAGTAACTATGAAGGGTGACTGATTATAAATGTCAGTATGGAGAAAAGTCATCTGAATTGCTTGTGTGCAGTTTTCTACTCCTAGCTGTAGACAACTTTACTTGAGAATGCCCAAGTTTAGTGCTTACTGTTTGCCATTTTGGTGTACAGGTTGAACATCCAAATCAGAAAATCTGAAATTAAAAATGCTAAAAAATCTGAAACTTTTTGAGCACTGACATGACGCTCAAAGGAAATGTTCATGGGTGCATTTTGGATGTCTGATTTTGGGATTTGGTATCCTTTAAGAATAATGCAAATACTAAAAAAATCTGAAATCCAAAACATTTTCAGTCCCAAGGATTTTGGATGAGTAATGCTCAACCTGTACATGATTCTAGGCCCTTAAAAAGTGGCGATTCAAGGCCGGGCTCGGTGGCTCAGCCTGTAATCCTAGCACTTTGGGAGACTGAGACAAGTGGATTGCCTGAGCCCGCGGGTTCGAAACCTGCCTGGGCAACTTGGTGAGACCTCATCTCTACAATAAATCAAAAAAAAAATTATCTGGGCATGGTTCCGGGCATGCCTATAGTTCCGGCTACTTGAAAGACTGAGGTGGAAGGATAGCCAGAGCCCAGCAGGTCGAGGCTGCAGTGGCCGGGAGCGTGCCACTGCACTCCAGTCTGGGCGACAGAGTGAGACTCCAACTCAAAAAAAGTGGCAATTCCAGTATTATTATTATTATTATTTTGGTCAGTCTCACTCTGTCACCCAGGCTGGAGTGCAGTGGCTTGCTCATGGCCACCACAGCCTTGACCTGCTGAGCTCAGATGATCTTTCCACCTCAGCCTTTCGAGTAGCTGGAACTATAGGCGCATACAACCAGGCCTGGCTAATTTTTAAATTTATTGTACAGAAGAGGTCTCACCAAGTTCCCCAGGCTGTTCTTGAACCCCTGGGCCCAGGCATTCCTCTCGCCTTCACCTCCCAAAGTGCTGGGATTACAGGCATGAGCCACTGTGCTCGGTGTCCCAGTATTATTTTTTAATCCAGTGAGTTTAAAATTCAGTCTGGTTGGATGTGGGGACTAGAAGTTGTATCTGGGTTTGCATTGTAGACAGATTGTTTTAGCTTAGGTGGCCTTCCTCTCTGGGCACAACTCCGGGATGCTGCTAGTGGAGCAAAAGCAATTTAGGTTCTCTTTTGAGCATTGCCTCCAAGACTTGTGAAGAACCTTGTGCTTGTCAGTTTTTAGCTGACCAGAGAACAGGTTTATCTAGAACCATTTTGGGTATTTTTGGTCAAAGATTTAAAATTTGGTCTTAAGTAATGAGATTAAATGAATATGCTATTCTTAAACCCTCTTAAAGAATACAAAGATTTTAAATTTTTAATCAAATTATTTATTTTCCAGTAATCTATTACTGTAATCCCTAAACTTCTCGACTTAACATTTCTACAGTGGTTTTTAGAATTTACTTTATAATTCTGGAAAAATATAATGCTAATGATAATTATATGTTACAAGTAACAAATTTGGCAAGTATTTTTTATGATCCTGTTACATAAGTTGACAGGTAAACAATTTTTAACATTTAGAGGTAATAATTAAATAAAGGTATAAGCTCTTCCCTCCTCTTTAAAAGAAATTATTTTCTCAAAAACTTCTCTTAGGTCACAGAAATCCAGGACTGGAGTGCATCAAGCCCACATAGCGCGGCATACGTTCTTTGGGATAATGGTGCTAAGAACCTTTACAGAGTTGGCTTCGAGGGCATGGTAAGTAGTGAGGAACCATACAGATAAAAATATTCATTGGGTGAATAGTCCTTGTTTTGCTCTTATTTTTTTTGTCATCTCCCTTTATCAGAATATGGCATCTGAACTATGAATATGTGATAGGAAGGAAATCTATAAAGTGAGAATTTAATAAATTTGCAAGATCTTTCAATTTTTACTTTGTTTATCTAAACTAATAGTAAATATGATTTTGCCCTCAGTTAACATTTGAGTACTTACTATATATTGATTGTGTAGAGTTGATTCATTATTGATGTAAATCTAGAGGGATTATTTACTAAAATCTATCAAGAAGATTGAGAATCACATGTAAGACCATTGCTTGGCATGGGTGATATAAAATGAGGTTTTATGGCATATTTGTATTCTTTGCTCTGGTAGCTGATAAAAGCATAAATTACAATAGGCATTAAAATTACTTTTAAGGAAATTTTTTTCTCTTTATTTAAAAAAGTGTACTATTGATAATTGAAAATGATTGAAAAGTATCATGTATCATTTAAGTGCTTAAAAGAATAAAGGAGTTTTATTTAATGGATTACCTTATATTTCTGTATTTCATGAACCATTGTTCAAATGCTGACCTCCCTATTTAATTTACAGAGCATAATGAATGCCAAAAATTACTGCTTGTCTTATTTTTTCCATCTTGACTACATTCTTCATCCAAAAAATTCTTTAAATTCCTTTTTTTTTTTTTTTTTTGAGTTGGAGTCTCACCAGACTGGAGTGCAGTGGCATGCTCATGGCCACCACAGTATTGACCTGCTGGGCTTCAGCCATGCTTCTGCCTCAGCCTTCCAAGTAGCCAGAACTACAAGTACACACAAGCAGGCCTGGCTAATTTTTAAATTTATGTAGAGACAAGGTCTGGCCAAGTTGCCTGGGCTGGTCTCTAATCCGCGGGCTCAGGCAATCTACTTGCCTTGGCTTCCCAAAGGGCTGAGCCACTGAGCCCAACCTAAATTCCTTTTTTTATACTGTCTGTGTCTCTTGTCGGGAAGAGAGAAAGTAGCCCAGTGTCCCTTTATCTATTTTATTTCTATACAAAAACAAGCCATGTGAATTTTTTGTTTGAGTTGCAATCTCACTCTGTCACCCAGGTTGGAGTGCGGTTGACCTGCTGGTCTCTGGCCATCCTTCTGCCTCAGCCTTCCAAGTAGCCGAAACTACAGGCATGTACTACCACACCTGGCTAATTTTTGATTTATTGTAGAGACGAGGTCTCGCCAAGTTGCCTGGGTTGGTCTCAAACCCGTGGGCTCAGGCAATCCACTCGCCTTGACCTTCCAAAGTGCTGGGATTACAGACTGAGCCACTGAACCCGGCCTAGCCATGGGAATTTAAACAAATATTTTATTCACCAATTTTTATCATTGTAAATAGCATTGGTTATAAGTTTTTCATTATCTTCATGCCTCTGCCTGTTTTTGAAATTGTGAGTTTTTGTAGGATTCTGGTGATGATTAATTTTCTTCAAATGAAGGCCAGGTGCAATATGTGCTCAGATATTTACCAGTACTATATATAAATTGATGACTGAGTAGTATTCCTTTATGTGGTGATGCCAGTATTTATTGAAGGAGATTTCTGTTGATGAGTATCTGATGAGTATGGGTTTTGTTTCCCCCACTGTTTCAAGTAGTGTGTCAGTGAGCATCCTTGTGTATATGTCTTTGCACATTATGGGTATATTTCCTTAGGATAGCTTTTGAGACATGAAGTTGCTGGGTTAAAGTATTATGTGAAACTGTGAAAACAGTTTGATCTCTCTGTCTCTTCGGCCAGGACTGAGTGATAGCAAAAGAAGCCGTGAAAGAGTTGAGTTCTGTGCACGTGCATGCACGCATGCATGTGTATAAAGGAGCGCTTTTCCTTAATAGAGTAAGATATCCTGATTACCTACTATATATCCAAGGTATTATTTAGCACTTTAAAGTAAGTTAACTTCTAAATTTTCACAGTAACACCCAAGATTGTTCTTCTAAGTTCACATTTTCTGTACTTTTTACTGTACTACAGCTCCCTCCTCATTTAACTACTTGATCATTTGTTTTCTTATAAAAGTTAAGTGGGAAGGAACCTTAGTTAACCAGTTTTGGTGAAGTAAGGTCTGAATTGATGTTGTATGCTGAGGGACGAAAAGTTTATTAAAGAGAAGAAAAGAAGGTGGGGGGGGGGTGGCTGGCTCTATAGAGAGAAACCAGTGACCTTTGTTCTCTTGCAGGCCACTTATATACCCCAGTTTAGGTTGATTGGGATCTGAGAAGCAGTTTAGGGAGTTTGAGTTGTCACCTGGCCTTGAAATGCAGATGTCAGCAGCTGCTGTTGAGTCTATTCCCACAGCATTGAAGTGCAGATGTTCACACAAAACCAGTCACTATCAGGGATGTTGTTAATCACTTGTCTCTGAAATGCAGCCTTAGGAAAGCAAACACTGACAATCAGTACCAGGACGTTATGAATCATATAGCTTTGGGATGCGGGTCTCTGGAAAGCAGATATGGGCAGTAAAGGAAAGCAGATATAGGCAGTAAAGCAATTAGTAACAGGATGCTGTTAGAGCAGTGTTAGCTTTTGGGCCATTGCAACTCTGTGCTTCATTTGTGAGGTTTATATGATGAGTTGTTTTTTTTTTGAGTCGGAGTCTCACTCTGTCGCCCAGACTGGAGCGCAGTGGCCGCTCCTGGCCACCGCAGCCCGGACCTGCTGGGCTCCGGCGATCCTTCCGCCTCAGCCTTCCAAGTAGCTGGAACTACAGGCGCACGCTACCACACCCGGCTGATTTTTTGATTTATTGTAGAGATGAGGTCTTGCTGCCCAGGCGGGTCTCGAACCCGCGGGCTCAGGCAATCCACTCACCTCAGCCTCCCAAAGGCGCGGGATTACAGGCTGAGCCACTGAGCCAGGCTTGATGAGTTGTTTTAACTACAACCTCCTCTTCCATCCCCCTACAAACCCTATCAGATGTAAATAGGAAAATTAACTTGCCAAGGAATCAAATGACTGAATTTGTCCCCATTCTTTTCTACTTTGTACTGGTTGTTTGGTTTTGGATAAATTCCAGGTTTTTGTTTGTTTTTGGTAAAAGTATCCTTAAAATTGAATTGTGTTACACATTTCAAATAGTAGGTATTTGTTGTAGTCATTTTTACAAAGTGTTTTTGAAAATATAATAAATATTATAATATTATGAATATTATAATAATATCTAATATAATAGAATTCAGGCATTTTAATTTTGTGCTTTTTAAAAGAAAGCTAGAAGTAAATAAAGTATGCCCTACCTGAAGATCAGGTTTCTGTTTTCTGATACTTGCTTTTTTGTTTTTGTTTTTTTTAAAGTAGGATTTATTGAGAAGATAGAAAAGCTCCCAGAGCAGGAGGGAACCTGAGGGAGTTGCCTGACGCGTGCTTTTTGAAAGCAATTTTTAGTTAGTGTGATTGTTAACCCAAAGCTTATCATGACTTCTGTTGTAGGTGTGTTCTGAATGAATATTTTTGCCTATTTCAGGTATTGAGCCAAATTTGAAGTTTTCATGAGTGATTTTTCTGGTTTCTTTTCTTAGTCTGATCTGAAGTGTGTCCAGGATGCCAAAGGAGGTTCTTTCTACAGAGATCATTGTCCTGTGCTAGGTGAGTTAGCAGAGTAGAGAAAATTACTAAATAATGGGTCACAGTTCATGGAATCAGTAACATGTTTAAAGTAGACTTAAAAAACTAGTTATCATTTAATTATTTGGAGAAAAACTTATTTTATTTTATTTTGTTTTTAAGGCATTTGTTCCTTTATTATGATTTTTTTTTTAGATGTAGATTTGTCATTTCTTGCAAATTGACATGCCATTTACGTCATGATATATTTGAAACTTTTGTTTTTTAACCGTAAACTTAGAGTTTAGTACTTATAAATTTCTTAGAATTCCTGTAACATTGTCTTCTTAATACAAGAATAGTACCAAGATTAAGGCAATATAGTAAATATAATTTTATGTGTCATTAAACTAAAAAAAGAGAACAATAAAACCAAAACTACCTTCATTTTTTAGGTTTATTATTGCCAGGAAGAACATTTGCCATGCTCTTCTGATCAAATCTTTAGTCTTTGAATGCTTTCTTTTCTCATGTGAACTATATGTTCTTCTTTCCAAATCATTTGACTTGGCTTTTTAGCAAAAAGTATACTGTTTTCATGCAGCATACCTTAATTTTTTTTATTATAAAGGAAAAAATAGGAAAAATATCTTGTTTTTGATGAGCTTATCCATTTCACTTGCTTTCAGAAATGTTTTTGTTTTGTGTCTTGCCTTCATAAAAAAATGCAGAATCAACATGCATATTTTGGATAGCTCAGCACAGAGGTTAAAAAAATTTCTTATTTTTAATTGTTATACATGCAGAATCAACATGCATATTTTGGATAGCTCAGCACAGAGGTTAAAAAAATTTCTTATTTTTAATTGTTATACATATATAATAGTTGTACATATTTACAGAGTACGTATGGTGTTTTCATACAGGCATATAACGTGTAATGATCAAATCAGGGTAACTAGGGTATCCATGACATCAACAGTGTTTCATGAATCATGAACCCTTGATCTCAGAGCTAGCATTTGAAAATAATCTAGGGAATTAGTTTTGAAATATTTAAAAATGCTCTTTAGGGCAAAAATCACAAGAACTATTTGTTAAAAAACAGTACTAAGCACTTCAGAGAAAAAAGAAAACAAAAATTCCAGAGTTTTCTTTCATGTTCTTGATTTAGTTATTGGGGCTCTAATGCAGTGGTAGTCAATGTCATCTATGCATAAAGGTGAGTATATTCAACACCCAGGACTTTGTGTTTGCCCACAAAACTGCATCGTCTTTTATAGCTTCTACTCTTGTTTAGTCTTTAATATATATAGATCATCACATTATTTAAGTTTTTGAGTCCATTTTTCAGAAAGCTCTTGTTCTAGAACTTTGTACTTATAGTGGATTCTCAAAACATTTTAAAGTTAGGTAGTACCTAAAACTAAAATATTTGGATGTTATTGTTATTTAAAAACTATGCAGTTGCATGTTGTTGCTGTGACTTTTTTCTTTTTTCAACTACATCTGAAATTACAGGTGAGCAGAATGGCAACAGGAATCCTGGTGGATTGCAGATTGGTGACCTGGTAAATATAGATCTTGACCTAGAAATTGTACAGTCTTTGCAGCATGGTCATGGAGGATGGACTGATGGAATGTTTGAGACTTTAACTACAACTGGAACTGTTTGTGGCATTGATGAAGACCATGACATTGTAGTACAGTATCCAAGTGGCAATAGGTTGGTGATATTTCTCAACTTTGGATAACGAAACATTAGTCTATCAAGAACAGAACTTTAAAGAAAGCAGATAATGTGATATAACTAAAGATTCATTGAAGCTAGCTTTTGAAGGGTAGATAAAAATCCAGAGTATGTTGGTAAGGTGGATGGGAACAAATGATAAGAATTGTGTGTGTGTGTGTGTGTTGTGTATATATGTGAGTTTATATGAGTATGTTTATGATACATGTTGTGTACAAATTTATTTTTACTTCAGCAGGAGAATATATTATATCAGTATTAGGTCTAAATATAGGTAAAAAGTTCTGTGCTCATAATGGACCATATCAATCTATCCTGAATAAGAAGGATTGTATTAGAACTCCTATGATCTATATCTCCAGAGCTATCTCTCTGTTTAAAAAATTGATACACATGACCAGGCTTGGTGGCTCATACATGTAATCCCAGGACTTTGGGAGGCCGGGAAGGGAGGATTGCTTGAGCCCAGGAATCCTAGACCAGCTTAAGCAACTTAGTGAGATCTTGTCTCTACAAAAAAATAAAAAAGTTAACTGGGTGTGGTGTTGTGCACCTGTAGTCTCAGCTACTCAGGAGGCTAAGGTAGAAGGTTTGCCTGAGCCCCAGAGATTGAGGCTATGGTAAGCTGCAGTCTTGCCACTGCACTGCAGCCTGAGTGACAGAGTGCGATCCCAACTCAAAAAAAAATTGATATACAAAAGTTGTACATCTTTTTGGTGTACATGGTATATTTTCACACATGCATGTATACAATGTGATGATCAAACCTGGGCAATTGGGTCATCCAGCACTCCAGACACTTGCCCCTTCTTCATATTGGGAACATTTCAACTCCTCTCCTTCAGCTATTTTGCAATATATGTCAAATTATTGTTGACTACAGTTGCCCTACTGCAGTATTGAACACTGCGTCTCATTGGTTCCATCTAACTGTGGTTTTGTGCCCATTAACTAACTTCTGTTCATCCCACCTCCTCCCTACCCTTTCCACCTTCTGATAACCAATAGTCAACTCTCTACCTCCATGAGATCCACATGTTAAAATCTTACACATGAGTGAGAACATTCGCTATTTGTCTTTCTGTGCCTGGCTTATTTTATTTTACAGAATAACTTCCAGTTTCATTCATATTGCTAAAGATGACAGATTTCATCTTTTTTTTATGACTGAATTAATATTTTTTTGTGTATATGTGCCAGATATTCTTTATCCATTTATCTGTTGATGGGCATTTAGGTTAGGTTAGCTATATTTTGGCTGTTGCAAACAGTGCTGCAATAAACACAAGAGTGCAGAATTCTTTTCAATATACTGATTTCCTTTCTTTGAATATAACCCAGCAATGGGATTGCTGGATCTTATGGTAGTTATATTTTCATACTGTTTTCCATAGTGGCTATACTAATTGACATTCCTACTAATTGACATTCCTACCACCAGTGTACAAGTGCTCCTCTTTCCCCACATCCTTGCCAGCATTGTTGTTTAATTTATCTATCTATCTGTGTATCTATTTATCTATAAAGTCATCTTAATTGGGGTGAGATGTTATTTAATTGTGGTTGTAATTTGCATTTCCCTGATGATTAGTAATATTGAGTACTTTTAAATATGAAATATATATATATACACCTGTTAGCCACTTGTATCTCTTTTTTAGAGAAATGCCTGTTCAGATCTTTTGCTCTTTTATTTCAGTTGGGGTCTTAACTTTATCATCCAAGCTGGAGTGCAGTGGCATAATCATGACAATCAGCTCATAGCAGTCTTGACCTGGGCTCAGCAATCCTTTCACCTCAGCATCCCGAGTAGCTGGGACTATTGGCGTGTGCCACCATGCACAGCTAATTTTTTAGATTTATTTTTTTTGTAGAGACGAGGTTTTACTTTGTTGCCCAGACTGGTCTCAAACACCTACACTCAAGCAATCCACCAACCTCGACCTCCTAAAGTATTGGAATTGCAGATGTGAGCCATCACTTCTGACCCTTTTGCCATTTTTAATCAGATTTTATTATTTGTTATTGAGTTGTTTGAGTTTCTCATATATTCTGAGTACTAGTAATCCCTTGTTAGATGGATAATTTGCATATATTTTCCTCCATTCTGTAGGTTGTCTCTTTACTCTGTTGGTTGTTTACTGTGCAGAAGCTTTTTAGCATCATGTGATCCCATTTGCCTATTTTTGCTTTTGATGACTGGGCTTTAGGAATCTTACCCCAATAATTTTTGCCCAAATCAATATCCTGAGGTGTTTACTCAGTGTATTCTTCTAGTAGTTTCAGAGCTTCAGGTCTTAGATTTAAGTCTTTAATCTATTTTGATGCAATTTTTGTAGATGGTAAGAGATAGGGGTTTATTTTTATTCTGCATATTTTTTGAAGAGAATACTCTTTCCCCAATGTATGTTCTTGGCGACTTTGTCAAAAAACAGTTGGCTGTAAATGTGTGAATTTATTTCTGGGTTCTCTATTATTTTCCATTGGTTTGTGTGTCTACTTTTGTGCTAGTACCATACTGTTTTGATTACTATGACTCTGTAGTGTATTTTGAAGTCAGGTAGTATGGTGCCTCCGGTTTTGTTCTGTTGCTCAGGTTGACTTTTAGCTGTTTGGGGTCTTTTGTGGTTCCAGATGAATTTTAGCATTTTTTTTTTCCTGTGAAGAATTATCATTATTATTTTATAGGAATTACATTGAATCTGTAGATTGCTTTGGGTAATATTGACATTTTAATAATAGTCTTTCAATCCATGAGCTTGGGAAATAGTCCCATTTTTTTGTGTCTTAGGTTTTCTCTATCAGTGTCTTATAGTTTTTCTTGTAGAGATCTTTCATTTCTTTGGTTACATTTCTTCTTAGATATTTATATTTTCTGTAACTGTTGTAAATGGAATTGCTTTCTTGATGTCTTTTTTATGTAGGTGTGTATAAATACTATTGAATTTTGAGTTTGTATCCTGCATCTTTACTGAAATTGTTTATCAGTACCAAGAGATTTTTGGTGGAGTCTTTTTTTCTTTTATATTTTATTTTTTGGGATGGGATTTTCCTCTGTTGCCCAGGCTAATTTTGAACTCCTGGACTCAAGTAGTCTTCCCGCCTTGGCCTTATGAGTAACCGGGACTACAGGTGTGTGCCACCACACCAGTTTGTTAGAGTCTTTAGGTTTTTCTAAATGTAGTATTATGTCAACTGTAAACAAGTATAATTTGACTTCTTCCTTTCCACTTTGGATGGCCTTCGTTTCTTCCTCTTCCTCTGGCTAGGACTTATAGTACTATGTAGTGGTTAAACCGGGCAAACTTGTTTTGTTCCAGATCTTAGAGGAAAGGCTCTCAAATTTTCCCTGTTCGGTACGATGTTAGCCGTGGGTTTCCTATGTATATGGTGTTCATTGTGTGAGGTTTGTTAGGAGTTTTTATCATAACGGAATGTTGAGTTTTTTCTAATGCTTTTCTAGCATGTATTGAAATGATCATATGGTTTTTGTTCTTGATTGTGTTCATATGATGTTTATTTTTGTAAATTTTAATTTTTGGTAGAAGAGGGTCTTGCTATGTTGCCAAGGCTGATGTCCAATACCTTGTCACAAGCAATCCTCCTGTCTTGGCCTCCCAAAGTGCTGGAATTATAGACATGAGCCACTGTGCCCAGCTGTGTTGTATCAAGTTTATTGATTTGCATATGTTTGAACCATGCTTGCATCCCTGGAATTAATCACTTTTGATCATGGTAAATGATCTTTTAATGTGTTGTTGTATTTGGTTGCTAATATCTTGTTGAGAAGTTTTACATCTCTGTTCATCAGGGATATTGGCCTGTAGTTTTCTTTTTTTTGTATCCTCGTCTGTTTTTGGTATTGGAAATACTGGCCTTGTAGAAAGAGTTTGGAAGTATTCCCTTCTCATCCATTTTTTAGAAAAGTTTGAGTAGAATTTGTATTAGTTCTTCTTTAAATGTTTGGTAGAATCTAGCAGTGAAACCATCAGATCCTGGGTTTTTCTTTGATGGGAGACATTTTATTATTTTATTACTCTTTCGATCTTGTTACTCATTACTGTTCAGGTTTTCTCTTTCTTCATGGCTCTTTTGGTAGGTTGTATGTGTCCAGGAATTTATCCATTTCTAATAGCTTTTCCAACTCGTTGGCATATAGTTGTTCATAATAGTCTCTAATAATCTTTTGCTTTTTTGTGGTATCTGTTTATGCCTCCTTTTTTAATTTTTAATTTTCATTTGGCTCTTTTATTCTTCCTAGTCTAGCTAAAGGTTTGTTGATTTTTGTCTATCTTTTCAAAATACCCATTTTATGTTTTGTTGATCTTCTGTATTTTTTAATGTCTCAATTTCATTTGTTTCTGCTTGATTTTTATTATTTCTTTTCTTTTACTAGTTTTGGATTTGGTTTGTTCTGGCTTTTCTAGTTCTTTGAAGTATATCATTCATTTATTTATATGAAAAATTTCTACTTTTTTGAATATTGATTTGATGTTTACCATTGTAAACTTTCTTCTTAGTGCTGCTTTGGCTGTATCTCATAGATTTTGGTATGTTGTGTTTCCATTTTCATTTGTTTCAAGAAAGTTTTAAATTTCTTTCTTAATTTCTTTGTTCACCCAATGGTTGTTCAAGCGCATGCTGTTTAGTTTTCATGTGTTTGTATAGTTTACAAAGTTTCTCTTGCTGTTCATACTTGGTTTTGTATCATTGTGGTCAGAAAAGATACTTAATATCATTTCAGCTTTTTAAAATTTGGTGAGACTTGTTTTGTGGCCTAACTTGGTTATCCTAGAGATTGTTCCATGTGCTGATAAGAAGAATTGTGTTCTGTAGCACTGGATAAAATGGTCTGTGAATATTAGTTTGGTCTATTTGGTCTAGAGTGTAGTTTAATTTTGTTGTTTCTTGGTTGATTTTCTGCCTGAGTGATTGGTCCATTACTGAGAGTGGGATGTCGAAGTCCCCTACTGTTA